CTTCTAGGAGTTATGACTTGCAGTAGAGTGTTTTACTGCACAGCAACGCAGTGTAGATGCTGATGGGGCTGGCTGGGGCATGAGAATGCTTCAGTGCAAGGCTGCCTCCCAGCTAGTCCTATACTAGACTATCCTCATGCCCCAGCCAGCCCCTCCACAGCACATTGATCCAGGTCAAAACAGACCCAGGCCCCCTACTAGCTGGGGCTGCTCCACCCTGGCTAAATGTGCTACAGTCCCTGATACACTTTCAAACATGGCACCTGGGAACAATAAACTCCAGCACAATATGCCTCAAATTAATTGCACGTGTAGACACACCCAGGAATTCCGATTTCAAATTTTTGGATGTATCTTGGGAATCAAGCCATAGGTGTTTGCACGCGTAACAGTGCAAATATTCAGTGGCATCCTGCACACTCTTAAAAAGATCCTGTGGCGCTTAAGGATGCTGTGAGACCCCAGTTGAGTCACCATACCAAATAAATGAAAGTCTTTAGGTATACATTACTTAGCTCTGCTCATTGGCTGTTTTACTTAGGGAAATACGGATCATTGTTTTCTGCATTTTTGTAACAATAGCTAGCAAGGCCAAAGTGGAAAAATGGACAAAAGATCTGGAGTTTGGCTTTCTAGCTTACTTAAAATTAGGTGTGTATTAGTCATTACCTTTTTTCAGTAAGCATAGACATAAACATAGAATTTGGGTAATTTGCCATAATCAAATCTACACTTCAGTCCTGAATTGGCTAGACAGCATGCCTCCATACCTCTGCTCTTGTCCATTCTTGGTTTATATGCCTACTGCCTGTTGCTTTTGTTAATTCCTGACCCTGAAGTTGAGTATTCTAAGCAGTTGGTGCAAAGCATTGGAGATTTGATATATTTCCTCAGATGTGCCTATAAAACAGAGCCTGGAGCGTAAGGGTACCTTTCCCTTCACTTCCTTCTTCCTCTGTGGGCAATTAGCTTTTAGCAAGGAAGTGATTGTCCTGACTAAAAATAGCCTCAGTTCCATCACCGTAAGGACAGAAGGCTTGATTGGCCTCCTAGCTTACACTATTTTTACATTGGTGAAACTCCACTAACTTCAGTAAAAATTCTCCTGATTTACACGAATGTCAGTAGTGCTTTTTGCCTTTCTTGCCTGGAAGACTGGATGGGCAGTGGCCAGTCCATCCATGAGCCAGATCCAGCAGGTTGTCTTAATCTGGCACCCAGGGCATGTGCAGCCCCATCCAGCCACACAGAGCAGGGCAGGGTGCAGCTCAGCCCTGCGGGAGAAGGTGGTCTGACCCAGCCTAACAGGGAAGAAGGAGCCTTAACCTGGCCATGTGGAGGAAAGGAGGTCTGGTCTGGTCACATGTGCCCTTGGATTTAGGATTGGGGAATTTGGCAGCAGGGGGAGGGTGGCCATATTAATTGCTACCATTCCTCCACTGCCAAATTTCTCAACCAATGGGGAGCCCTGCAGACCAGATACCATGGCTCCATCATCCATATTTGCCCATGGGACAGAGGTTGAGCACCCCTGACATACATAAATAAGAAAAGAATCAGAACAAAAGAGAGTGTGATGAGTAATTAAACACTGTGATTTACAAAGAGTGTTCTCTATGCTGTGGTCATAACCATTACTGATGTTCGTGAACATTGTTTAAAACTTGGAAACCAGTAGCTGCATAGCTGTGGCAACGTGGCATTGAGTGTTGGGTGCAAGTTCCATTGCAAGCCCTGGGTAAATACTCAGAAGCCTAGTGTTTTCTGAGCCCTCTTCTACCACCAGTGCATTGCTTTCAGTAACCAAATTAGCTTAGTTTTAAAAGTAGTGGAGGTATGTTGGCATAAGCTACCCTCAGATTTTTGACTGCAATGCAGACATACCCAAGGACTCTGGCGGGGTGGCAGGGAGGCAGCAAGAGCACAGCTCTCCGGCTGTGTGTTCACTTTCTCTTTCTGTTGCCCCTAGGTCTCTGCGATTTGCAGTCCACAATCACAGAAGCAGGGCTTTGCAGGGTTGCTTATTACTACTACTTCTTCCTGCTTCCAGGTGCCTCCGATTTGTAGTTAACAGTTGCAACCAGCAATAAGTTTGAGCAGGGGAAGGGGTGTTTAACCCCAGCCCCAGACCCCAGCCAGGGTTTGCCTGGGGATAGCAGTCCCCACACCAAGGCTGGGTGGCATCCCTAGCTGGTCTTGCCCCCTGCACTCCCTTATCAGCCAGCCTTCACTGCTCCAGCTAGGGATCAGAGGGGTGGGGCCAGCCCTGCTCTCTGGTGTAGACAGCACAGCCCAGCCCAGGGCTGGAAAGCATGTTGGGATGCAGGGGGATTGTGATTTAACATGAACCAGGAAGGGGCCTGGGACAGAAGTTTCATAAACCATTTTGACCCAAATCAGTTATGTCTATTATTACATTCAACCAGGTTCTTCTTAAACCAGTTTCAGTTATTTTGAAACTGGTTTATGTGCACTGAGCTTCTGTTCTGTTACAGGTTTAAACCAGTTTCTGATCACTTAAACCAGTTTACGTGTAACTTCTGTCCTAGCCAGTGGGTATTCCCTTTCTGTTTTGAACCAGCAATTTTTTAAAGAACATTTTCAGTTGCAGTTGAAATAGAAATGAATATAATACCTTGTAATTAATGAGAAATAGGCCCTTACAATCATTCCTTTGCTTTTGGAGCAAATACTGACATCTGTCAAACATGTTCCCTTCCCTGCTTCACAGATGGGGAGAGCAATTAGATTTTCATTTCTCTGCATTTGTTCCCACACAACCTGAGTGGGATTAAACTTCACTAGTTACCTATGAGGATGAAGTCACAGTAGCACATTTTGAAGCAGTTAACTTAAAAAAAGAACATATATTTAACTTAAATATATAAGAAGTGCCATACTAGGTCAGACTAAACTAAGTTTATCTAGCCCACTGTTTTGTCTCTGACACTGGCAAGTAGATGCTTTAGAGCAAGGTTCTCAAACTCATCTTATGCTCCATATTGGATCTGGATGGCAGGTCTCCTTTTGGGCTGGATCTAGTCTGAGCCATGGGGAAGCAGTGGCAGTGACAGCTCTAGCTCTGACCCAGAGCATGCGGCGGTGGTGGTGGTGGTACACAGCAGTGGCTCCAGCTCCCGTCCTGAATCCTGTGTCAGAGCCAGAGAAGCCACTACAGCAACATCTTCAGTTCCAGCATAGGGCAAACAGCAGGGACCTGGTTTAGAAAGTTTGCAGTTTTGTCTCTGAAAATTGTGTAGATTTAAACATTATAAGACTTACCAAAAGCTTACTAGACGTGTGAGAAATGTCTTTCTTTTTTGTATGTTGAAGGTTGCATTGAATCTTTTAAACTTCCTAATAATAATTACTAAACATTGCAATACATCACTGAGAACTGAAGTCATACTGGGTTTTTTTTAAAGCACAACGGTGCGTTCCTAACACAGAAATGTAATTTGTGTTTTGTTGTTTCTATGTACAATTAAATTAAATTTGTAGAAGGTGATTTATTGCTTTAGGCTAAAAGAAAAAATAATCAAATGCCTCGCTTAGTGAGTGAAACAATATGCCTGGAGATTGTTCTAAAATTATAAATCACAACTACCACTTTTGGTGAGAATATGAAGAGTTTCTTATGCATTCTTTTTAGCTTAAAATGCTTGCATTTCAAAATCTCTTCCTTAATATGAAATCAAGTCCCCTGTTGTGCAAAAAACCAAGGACGGTGCCTAAACAACAGTAAAAATGGTATGACATTTAAGTTTCAATGAAACCAGGCTGGGAAGAGAAAATTACCCACAATGGGTAAGTTGCATGCCAAAGGACTACTGAAGTCCTTTCATCAAAAGCAGCAGCAGCTTAAATTGATTGTTTTGCAAAACCAGGAAAATTGGTTCTATCCAAGATAGAAATGGATTGCAAAGCCATTTCCTTTCATTAGTGTGTTATGGATAGAGTTTCAGGGATCAGTATGACACCAAAAAAAGAAATAAACATACAATTTTTTGCAATTTGTCACAGTTCTTAAAATAATACTTTCCCTAGTGCCCTGAGTAACTTTTAAACTATTACTTTCCTTTCTAGGAAGTTGCATGCTATTTTTAACTCTGACTTGATAAAACAAGACTTTAACACAGTTTTTTTTTTTAAAGAAATCAGAATGCTTTAAGTATCTTCATCTTTACAAGTAGCAACCTCTTGGTAATTTGTTAGCCTCCCTGATGCAAATAGCATGCTGGAGATATGTACACGCTGACTAAATGGCGCCATTATCTTTCAAAAAGCTATTTTCATGGACTTTTTTTTGTCTGACCCCTCCCCCAGTGCTACTGAAGCCATGGCTACAGTTTGGATCTCAAGATTTTAGGTTGCTAACTTATAATGCAAAGTAGTATGTAGCAGCAGATCATGCCTACTACAAGGTGCTAAGGAATGCACAGGGTTTTTACTCTGGAAAGATTTCATTTGGCCCCCAGCTCTGCTTCTGACCATAACTCATGGGATGAAAGTAAATGTGAAGTTAAAGCTCTCAGGGGTGCAGCAGAGGGGGAGAGAGAGGTAAGAGGGAGGAGCAATGCAGGGGTGGGGAGACTGGGGGCTGTGGGGGAGAAGTGGTGGGGTGTGGAGAA